ATAGATAGATAGATAGATAGATAGATAGATAGATAGATAGATAGATAATAGACAGACAAATAAGACTTTCCCACCATCTGTCTCCACTGACACCTTGGTGTTACCCAGTAGACTTTTGACTATTCTGGGTCTGCTGATAGTTTTCCTGCCTTGCATCCACTGTTGCCTGTTCCAGATAATGTTGGAGAGAAAAAGTTCATTAGAATAACTCTGCCAGTGCCTAGCAAGATGGCTCAGCAGTTAAGAGCACTTCCAGAGGATACAAGTTTGGTTCCAGAACCCAGTTCAGTTCACAGTCACCTGTAACTCAGTTTAGAAGATCCAGTTTCTCTGGTCTTACACACCTGCACTCATGTGTACATACCCCCACACACACACATATGCAATTTTTAAAATATGTATTAATACATAGTTAATATATTATATATTAAATCTTTTTTAATTTAAAAAGTAATTATACCCTAACTTCTTCCTCTGATCTCTGGCCCTTGTCTACTCTTGTCTTTTTGTCAAGACACTGGAACCAAATTTTACTGGGCTGTCCCAGGAATTTCTGTCTTTGTAATCACAATGAGTTATTGTTGTATGTCTTAATTTAGTATAGGTTATCTTTTTAAAATGGCTGGTTAGTATAATTGACTACATATGAAGAGAGCTTGTATTCAATGAAATGTAAATTAATTTTTTACATTTGGATAGGGGTTTGAAGGATGATTTACGGGACTTGGTTCTCTCCTTCCACTCTGTAGGGTTCTAGTACTCTAACTCAGGTCATCAGGCTTGACAGCAAGCTCTTCACCCATTGAACCCCTTTGCTGGATTTATCAAAAAGGATAGTTTCAGTATATACCTCTGTGCATGAGAGAGTTTTTATCCTTTTTATATTTATTGCCTCACCTTTTTTTAGAGTGTGTGTGTACACATACTATACATATGTTTGTGTTCTTTTGTGTATTGGTTCATATGTGTGTTAGGTGATATCCTCCTTATTTTTTGAAATAGGGTCTCTCAGTGGAACTTAGAGCTAGCTAACTCAGCTGATCTGGCTGGCCAGCCATCTCTGGAGGTCTGCCTGTCTGTCTTTTCCTCCTTACCTCTGGAGTTACAAGTGTGCAGCACCCGTGCTCAGCTCTCGGTGTGGGTGCTGGTGTCCTCCTCGAGTCCTCGTGCTTTGCCTGCTGGGCTATCACCTCAGTCCCCACCTCCACCTTAAGTGGAGTGGAAATCGTGCCATAGAGTAAGTGCATGGATTTGAAGTCTGAAATACTTCCCTGGGTCAATTGTAGGGCTCATTAGATTGTTTTTAGGTTTTAATTGTTAAAATATGGAGAAGATGTGAAGGATTATCTTCTTTATTTTATTTTTTTAAACAATCTTTTTTATTTTACATAACAATCCCAGTTTCCTCTCCCTCCCCTTCTCCCACTATCCCTACCTTCCCCTCACCCCACCCAAAGTATTATGATCTAGGATAAATTTATAGAATCAAATTGGGCAAGTAGGTAAAAGGATCAGTATTTTAGATTATTAAACAGACCAAATGCCTGTAGTAGAATAGAAATTCAAATTATAGTTATTCGATGAAAGAACATTAAAAATGGCTTTGCATATGTTTCTGCCAGTTCTTAACACTACCAGTGTGAGATTGTTTATTTTCCAGCACGTCTTGCATGTTTTGATTATTGGAGTAATTAAAAGAGTTCTCTGCTTGTCTTGAGGGGGTGGGGAATGCCTTCAACTGCTGTAACTAGGGCCTCCTCCCACCCTCTGTTCACCAGCTGAGTAAATGAGCATGTTTCCTTACAGGACTGAATTTACTCTTAAAGAAACCATGTCCTCTGGAGGTGCTGAAGATGACATCCCACAGGGAGAGAGGAAGACAGTCACAGATTTCTGTTATCTTTTGGATAAATCCAAGCAACTGTTCAATGGGTTAAGGTTAGTAGACTCTTGATGTGTTAAACTTTCCTCTAATTCTGTTTTCCCTCTTATTGATATATGGTAAGTTTCTGAAAGTTATGTATGTATCCTATATGTAGGCGGGACGGAGCAGGGGCCTGGCCAGCGGGGTTCGTGGCGGGGAGATTCCCTGGGAGCCAACATGGTTTGGCATCTTGAGATCCCATGGCTGCCCTTCCTGGACTCTGGGGCTCTTTTGCCCATGTCAGCAGAACATTTGACCAGCGCTGCTTCAGCACCTCTGAGAGCCTCTGTGCAATCCAGAAAATGACTTGGTTGCATATAGTGGACAATAGTGCCCTGGGTAACACCCCGTACCATCGACCTCTTCAATGCATCCATGTCTATAACAAGAGTGGGGTGAGCAAGGTAGGCGACCAGATTCTGCTGGCCATCAGGGGAGAGAAGAAGAAAGCACTCATTGTGGGACTTCATATGTCTGGCTCCCGAATGACCCCAAGGTTTGACTCCAGCAACATGGTTCTCATTGAGATCAATGGGAACCCTGTGGAGACTCGTATTAAAACACCTATCCCAACCAGCCTTCGCAAGAGGGACAGCAAGTATTCCAAAGTGTTGGCCATAGCTCAGAACTTTGTGTGAGCGGCGTGCCTCTGCACCATGCATCCATTCCTTTCACGCTGGTGATAGTGTCCTGGAACAGAATAAATGTTTTAATGTGTGCAAAAATAAATAAATAAGTAAAAAATAAAGTCCAATTTTTCTGTGACCATTTGGGTCTTGTGCAACCTACTGGGTAGCCCTAACCTCTGCTTCATAGAGATATTGGTATTTTGAGTCTCTGCCCACTTCCCTTTTCTACCGCTGGCTTTTCCTGCCCATTGTTGGGAATCAAACCCAGGTTTGGTGCATACTAGGTAAGCATTCTTTTGTTGAGGTATGTTTTTCCAGCTATGAAAGGAGGGAAGGAAAGAAGAAAGGAAGGAATTATTATTTAGCAGTTATTGTTTTATATCTGTATCTAGAACTGTCTTTTATTATTCAAATTATTGTATTTATTCATTACGAGTGTGTACTTTGCCTGCATAAACATCTGTGCATCACTTGCATGTCTGCTGTCACCAGGAAAAAGCATCAGATCCCCTGAAACTGAAGTGACAGGACAGATGGTAAGCTGGCAGTTGAACCTGGGTCCTCTAGTACTAGGAGCAGCCACTGCTGAGCCATCCTTCCAGCCCCTAGGAACTTTTAGCATGGAATTTTAAAAGTATTTCAGTAGAAGGCTAAGTAGATGGACTCAGCTCATGAAACACTTGTCTTGGAAGCTTACGGTTCAGGAGATGGATCACTGAGTGTAGTGGTGTACACTTGTTATCCTTGCCTGGGGAGCTAGAGACAGGAGGATCCCTGGGGATCCTAGCCATCCTGTCTGACCAACTTGGTGAAACTTGAGGTCAGTGAGAGACCCTGTCTCAAAAAATAATGTGGATAACTCCTCAGTAACAGTGCCCAAAGCTGATCTGGGCAAATATGCACGCACACGGGGGAGAAGGGGGGAAGGCTACATACATACACAAATTCACAAAGATTTTAGTGGAGATGGTAATGAAAAGTCCATGATGTGTGATTAAATCACAGAAATAAAGGAAATTGCAAAAGCAGGGTTTTTTAAGATTAGAAAAATAATTATTTTAAAATCTGAGAGAAAGAGAGCGTGTTTGGTTTTTTTGATTTTTTTTTTTAATCTATGAATGTTTTCTTTATAATTTGTGTATGTGCAGTGCCAACAGAGAGGATGTCAGTTCCTCTGGAACTGGAGTTACAGGAGGTTGTGTACCACCATGTGGGTGCTAGGAACTAAACCTGAGCTCTCTGCAAGAGCAGCAAGTGCTTTCTTCCAGCTGAGCCATGTCTTCAGACTCCACATGATATTTTCGTTTCTTTTATTTTAAAATGAAAATTTTATGTTAAATGAATTTTCTGAGACAGGCATGGTGGTATATGCCTGTACTAGCTTTTTATCGACCTGATACAAGCTAGGGTCATCTGAGAAGAGGGAATTTCAACTGAAAAAATGCTTCATCAGATTTCTTGTAGGCAAATCTATTGAGCAATTTATTAATTAATGAATAATGTGGAAGAATCCAGTCCACCAAGGGCTGTGCCACCCTGGGCAGATAGGCCAGAACTGTGTAAGAACGTAGCTGTGTAAGCCAGTGAGCAGCACTCCTCCCTGGCCTTTGCTTCGGTTCCTGCCCCAGCTTCCCATCTTAATGGACTGTGACTGGGAAAACCAGATCTCCCCTTTCTTCCCCAGATTACTTTAGACTGTGGTGTTTCCTCACAGCCATAGAAGCCAAACTGGGGCATTGCCTGTAATCTGGCTGCTCAGAAGGCTGAGGCAGCATAGTCTCCTGAGCCTAAATGCTTAGACTAGGTTGGACAACAGTTAAGACTCCACTGACAGAAAAAGAAAAAGAAAATTACTTTTGTGTGAAATAAAATCCCATGTATGTGTGTGCTTTCTGTGTTTATTAAAATGTAACCATTTGTTGTTTAATATTGAACCTTGTTTGAAAAATCCTTAGAAAGGACTCTCTCTGTCAGTATAAAGTCTTCCTTGGGGTTCCCAGGGTCTCAGGGTGGAGAAATGTTACCTTCTCAGCATTATTTACTTTGTCTTCTTTGAATTTCTAACCTAAAAAGTTTTCTTATTTCAACTTTTGATGCTTTTGGTTTGGTTTGGTTTGGTTTGGTTTTGGTCATTTATTTGCAATGTATAAGATTTCTTTGGGGCTAACAAAGAAAGTGTTTTTCATTGATTCTCTTCTGCCACCTTTGTGTGTGTTCTGGGGATAAAACTCAGATTGCCAGGTCCATGAGACATCTTGCTGTCTTGAGGAAGTTTTTTAATTGTCTCTTTTCTTCTATACTTGTGTTGGTTTAATTGGAAAACAAGATCACAGTGCCTATAGAGCACATGAAATCCATGGGTAGTCAGCCAGCACTCCACCCGGGGAGGGGCCAGTGGCATCCAGGTACAGTGGTGTCAGCTCTTATACTGGCCGTTTCCCCGGACATTCCTTCCACTCTTGCTGCTCCTCTTTCTGCTAGGTTTCTTTGTGTTTTCTCTTCTTGTGTTTCTTTTGGAGGACAGTGTGAGGAGCACATGTTGGAGATGCAGCCCAGCTGTAGTGAGTCTTTATATTCAAATTAAAAGATTTTAGTATATTTTATTTTTTTAAATTATGTATGGGGAGGGAGGTTGTGCACACAAGTGCAAATGTCCTGAGGCATTGGATTCCCCTGAGACTGGTGTTACAGGCTAGTGTGAGCCATCTAGTGTGGGTGCTAGGAATTGAGTTCAGGTCCTCTACAAGAGCCCTTCATGCTCTTAAATGCTGACCATCTTTCCAGTTCAAGTATTTAAAAAAAAAAGCAAACATACTCGTGTGACCTGAACTCAGAATAAAGATACAAAATGTAGAACCTCAGAAACTCCCTGGTGCTCTGTTATGGGGATTTTTACACTGTAGAAACCGAGTCTAAAAGTGCCTGTCAGTGCACAGGTTTCACGCTCTTCTGTGTACCATTTCACTGGGGGCACATGCCCTTCCATCTTGCATGAGATGCTTATTTGACTTATCAGGACCTTTTGTTTCTTCAGCTGTAATAATCTGAACAGAATGTTTTCCTTATACAAATCTCCTGTCTGGAATATATGCATAATACTTAGCTCTTCTTGCTGCTCACTGTGTAAGAAAACCGTCTAGAGAGTAAGAAATGGGTAAAATGAGTGGTGATTTGCTTATCGTAGTGCTTGCATGTAGTTACAGTAGTCATGAAGTGAGAATAATGTTTTTAAAAAGCTTTGAATACTTTCAGAAAGTGATCAAAAGCTCAAGTGCATTGCCAGGTTCTGGTTGCCATAGTGACTAAAACAGTGGAAGCAGAATGGAATACTTGGTGGGATTATCCCAGGCAGCAATTTCAGACCTCGTTTTGAGAAACACAGCTGTGTCTCCCAGTGATAGTGGTAACTTGCAAAAGTGGAGGCCTCTACGTCCCTAATTATTTCACTTTAGAGGAGTAAGGACACAAAGCTGAAACAAGCCTTGGAGGAGCAGGTAGAGTTGTGGATGAGTACCAAAGTGAAATGTAGTGGTCTCAAGTGAAAGTAATACAGAAATTAAATAAATGTACTACAGATGCTTACAAAGGAAGGAATTATCTTTAGTACTTTCATTAGAGACCTATCTTTGTGATGCCCTTGTTCCTAAAAAAGAGGAAAACTGAGAAATGAAGTTTGTTCCATTGTCTCCTTCTTTTCCCTGTTCTCTATCCTCTTCTTCCTTTCTTCTTTCTTCATATTCTCGCAGAGGCAAGTTCAGTAAACTAGTCATTTCAGACGTGATATTTCTGTTCATTCTTGTGCTCCTTGTAGTGTACATTTGGCCTAGAAAGCCACCAAATACATTGGGTTCATGGTCTAGAAAAGTGTTTACTTAGAAATTTAATGTGAGGGGCTGGAGCAACAGCTCAGCAGTTAAGAAATTTAATGTGAGCTGGGTGTGGATACACGTGTAATCCCAGCACCTGGGACACAGAATTAGAAAGAACACCACAAGTTCCAGGCCAACCTGGGCTACACAATAAGGTCAGAGACAAAAATAATAATAGTAAAGAAAAAAGAAAGAGATCTAATATAAGCTATAAATGTAATCATATATTCTAGCTACCTTTATAAAAGTAAAGAAGAAACAATAATATATATTATTTTATTCAATATGCTAATAGTTCTGTTTCATCATGTGATCTGTGTAGGACTTACCAAGATATTTATGTCCCTGGTGCCAAGTCCTTGGTTGCAGTGACTGTTTTACTCTGGCTTGGATCTCAATTCAGATTAGACCATAAATTCTCATTTCTAGTACTCAGTAGCTCTGTGTGACTTGTGCTCAGGCAAAATTTTACCAAGTTTTAACTTCTGTGTCATGGTGGCCAACATGGCTCCCTGGTTAATCTGTATTGGCTGTTCTGGGTCCTCTTCTTTGCTTTCGTTTTTCAATTCCTTTCTGTAGATGCAGACAGCATAGAGGGCATTTGTTGTGGGCAGTTCATAACCAACCACCTGCATTTTGATGATTTCAGGCACTTTGTCATTTGTTATATTCTTTCATGAGGGATGCCATAACAAAGTAACATCAGCTAAATGCTTAAGAACAGGGCATGTATTTTCTCCCAGTTCTAAAGGCAGCAAGTCCAAATTTAGGATGTTGGCAAGTTTGATTTTCTCTGAAGACCATGCTCCGTCCTGTATCCTTACACAGCCATTGTTATATGAGAGCCCTGGCATTTGTCTGTGTGCCCAGATCTTAGGACACAAATCATACTAGCTTAGGACCCCAAAGTTAGTATTGATAAAAAATGTTTTCTGTGAGCTTTTAGAAGGTTGTCTTGTTCAATTTGGTGAAAGTTCTGAGTAGATTCAAAGCTTCTACCAAGTCTAGCAGTTTAGATGTCAAATGACATTGTAAACCTTGGGCAGACTGGTGAGTTCTCAGCAGTTCTCTTTAGCTCTCAGACGTCTGAGACGGCTCTTCTCAGATCTTAACTGTCTGAATGGGTGCAGAGCAGGGCCTTCTTTCTGGTCCCGTCAAGGTGTTGCTGGAAGCTAGATTAGGGATGATTT